GGGGCAGCTTTCCCCTTAGTGCTGTGTCACAACAGTGAATCCTTGTGAAATCATTTTTTTTTTTTTTCAAGTGTATAGCACCTCCCATCAGAGGTGCTTTTCCCTACTGCTCCATGTGACACCTGGCCCTCCCTTCACCTCTGCCCTGATTCTAAGTTTCCTGAGGCCTCCCCAGAAGTAGAAGCCACTGTGCATCCTGTATAGCCTGCAGAAGTAAGTCAATGAAACCTTTTATCAATTACCCAGTATCAGGTATTTTTTAATTGCAGTGAGAATGAACTAACACAGACACCAAGGCACACTATCAGTCAAAGCTAGTAGAATACATGCTCTGTCAAAACAAGAAAATAAACAGCAAAAAGCAAGGGATCCAGAAAGCAAGATCCAACATAGGAAAGAAGCAAAGGCAACTCCCAGGATAGCAGTAGCACAAGGTCCCAAGACAATAGCTGCACAGGTCTCCGCACTCCACATGGGAGCCAAGAGAGGATGCCTCCCAGAGGGATGTCCGTAAGAAACACAAAGAACTGGAAAAATCACCTGGTGTATTCAACCAGGTCAAGAGGAGTTTCACCATTCCATTGGAGAAGTGGAGGGTAAATTAGTGACAGGTACACAAGGAAGTTATTTTCTTTAAAAAAAAAAAAAATGAGGCAAATACTAACTTCTGAAAAAAACAAAAGAGTTGTCCAATACGGGAAGTAAGGAAAATCATGGCACACTTTAAGGCTCAGCTCTGAACAATATTTACATAGTTATAACAATTAAACCCTGAATACTGTTGCAACAGAAATGACAAAATGTTCTAACTCAACTAGGAGGGAGGGAGGAAGAAAAACATGTGTGACGGGGGTGGATAAAAGGACCACAATCCTCATCTTCTGTCACGGGGAGACAATAGATAAGATTTAACAACTGAAATGTCTGAATTAGGAGGGTCAGAGATATGGAGGCATATGACAGAAATGCCATCTAAAATGTAAAGAAGAGCTGGGTGTGGTGGCTCATGCCTGTAATCCCAGCAGTTTGGGAGGCTGAGGTGGGTGGAACACTTGAGGTCAGGAGTTTGAGACCCAGCCTAGCCAACGTGGTGAAGCCTCATATCTGCTAAAAATACAGTAGTCCCAGCTACTTGGGAGGCTGAGGCAGGAGAATTGCTTGAACCGGGGAGGCAGAGGTTGCAGTGAGCTGAGATGGTGCCACTGCACTTCAGCCTGGCTGACAGGGCCACATTCCTTCTCAAAAAAAATAAAATAAAATATGTAGAAGAGTGGTTGTCTTTGGAAGTGGTAATTGAGACTAAAAAAGGGTGGGGTAAGGGATTTATTTATTTTAAATTATAAGCTTACTATAAGCCAGGTATTTGGCTTTTTAAATTAATATTAGTATAAATATGGTTTTTTAAAAAAGTTTGAAAAAAGAGAAAAGTTCCAACTGCCCACCAATCTTTGAAGTAGTGACAACCTGATGCCAGGCTGGGAGCTCCTACCAAGGAAAGGAATGAAGAGAAATCTTAACAGAGAGGACAGCCCTAGTCCCATTCATAACGAGTTCAGCCTCCATGCCTGGGACCAGACCAGCTTTTTGAGACATTTAAATAGAAAGGATGGTGGAAGCCCAGAGGGCAACTGAGCCCTCTATACCAGGGGTCTCTAACCCCTGGGCCGCCAACCCGTACCAATCGTGGCCTGTTAGGCACTGGGACGCACAGTAGGAGGTGAGTGGCAGGCAAAAGAACATTACTGCCTGAGCTTCACCTCCAGCAGCGGCTTTAGATTCTGAAAGGAGCACGAACCCTATTGTGAACTGGGCATGCCAGGTACCTAGGCTGTGTGCTCCTTATGAGAATCTAACTAATGCCTGATGGCCGGGTGTGGTGGCTCGTGCCTGTAATCCCAGCACTTTGGGAGGCTGGTCCCAAAGTGGGTAGACCACCTGAGGTCAGGAGTCTGAGACCAGCCTAGCCAACATGGTGAAACCCCATGTTTACTAAAAATACAGAATTAGGCGGGCATGGTGACATGTGCCTATAATCCGAGGTACTTGAGAGGCTGAGACATAAGGTTGCAGTGAGCTGAGATCACGCTACACTCCAGTCTGAGTGACAGAGCGAGACTCCATCTCAAAAACAAACAAAAAAAGAATTGAATTAATGCCTGATGATCTGAGGTAGAACAGTTTTCATCCCAAAACGATCCCCCTCCCCTCCATGGAAAAATTGTCTGCATAAAACCGGTCCCTGGTACCAAAAATGTTGCGGATTGCTGCTCTATAGAGAAAAGGTTAAAGGAAGCACAGAAAGCCCAAGACCAAGCTTGCTTTGAGGTCAAGGTATTGTAACATTAAACAGACTGTTGGGCTTGCTGTGATCTCACAGTCCAAAGTGACTCCCTTCCCATCCCCTGAGAATTTTTCCAAAGAACAATGGGAATAGAAGTCACACCACACCAGAATTAAGGAAAGTGGGGCAGGCTCAGGAGACAGTAGAGACCATCAGAGCCTGCTGGTAGGCAGGAGGCTTAGGGTTGCCAGATACATGCAATACTAGGGACGTACTTGGACTTTACAAATTTGCTGTTTCTGGCCGGGTGTATGGCTCATGCCTGTAATCCCAGCACTCTGGGAGGCTGAGACAGGTGGATCACTTGAGACCAGGAGTTCAAGACCAGCCTGGCCAACATGGTGAAACCTTGTCTCTACTAAACATACAAAAGTTAGCTGGGCATGGTTCCCGGCTACTTGGGTGGCTGAGGCATGAGAATAGCTTGAGCCCAGGAAACGGAGGTTGAAGTGAGCCGAGATCGTGACACTGCAATCCAGCCTGACGACAAAGTAAGACGCTCTCAAAAAAGTAGCTGTTTCTCTGAAACACATTTAGTTACTTTATGTGTTAACTCTAGCAAGCCTAAGGGGCTGGCTACACCTTCCTTCCATCGACAGCTGGAGTTCAGTCAGGCACAGTGGCTCATGCCTATATACCTAGCACTGTAAAAGGCTGAGGCATGAGGATTGCTTGAGTCCAGGAGTTCAAGATCAGCCTGGGAAACATACAGAGAACATGTTTCTAGAGGAAAAAATTTTTAAAATTAGCCAGCCGTGGTGGTGCATGCTTGTGGTCCCAGCTACTCAAGAGGCTGAGATGGGAAGATCGCTTGGGCCCGGGAGGTCGAGCTGCAGTGAGCTGCGATCTCTGCACTCCCGCCTGGGAGACAGAGCAATACCTTGTCTCAAAAAAGAAAAAAAAAAAAAAGCTTGGAGTTTTCTCAGCCTTGCAAGCTGAGACTTTGCCTCTGACCACTCCCACCAGCTCACTGCCGTGGGAAGAGGGAACCCCCAGTGGCAAGATCCAGAGAACGACCCTAGGAGACTCAAGGCAGGACATGGCAGAATTTTACTGTGAACTGACCTTTGGGGTCAACACCACATGAAGTCCTTCCTATAGAGGAATTTGGTTGAGTTAATGTCTCCATGTCCATTAGCCCAGGAGACAAATCTGGCGCCATGAAAAGCACTGCCATGATCACTGGCTTCTCAGAACCTGTCCTACCCCCTGGGAAATGAGGCCACACCTGCAGGGTGGGGACAGTAGGAGACTTCCTTTCATGTCCTTCTCCTGTGAATTTTTACCACAATTTTTCCTTTTATAATCAGCAAAAGGTGATAAAGATATTTCCATATTAAAAAAGAACCTACAACGGAGGCACCCTCCAAAGCAGAGATACTACGGAGCCGAGTAACTTCCTGGTCTTTATTTGCATATTATTTTCTGGCTGTGGTTTGTTATTTTATTTTTATTCCCCTCAGGGATTCTAACCCCAGCTACTCACTACTCCTTCCCCCTGGAAGGCTGTTGCTGGCCGAGACAGCACGCTCAACCTTCCCAAATCTTCCCACTGCTCCCACTCGCGGAGGTCGTGGAGTTTGGCTTGGCCCAGCCCAAGCTCTCAATTCAGCTCCAGCCCAGACCTGGGTTCACTCCTCACCTGGATACTGCCCCAGATGACCTGTTCAGACGCCAAGGAAAGAGCTTGAGTGTTGGCTCTGTGAGAGGCCAAGGCAGCAAGACTCCTGGGCCCCATACAGAGCAGTCCTGGAGTTCTAGGGAGCTTGTGGCTTAACCAATCTTGAAAGAGGGGGCTGTGTCCCCACACCCAGAGACAACTGTCTTTCATACACCAGAACTTCATCCCCAGTAGGAGCTCCCCACTTCTCATTAGGAGGTCCCAGGGGATGATGGAGGGTTGGGGGCAACCCCTGGGTCACCAGGCTTGAGTGGAGACCTAGTTTTACCTCCTACCAGCCTTAAGACCTTGGGCCAGTCATTTAACTGAATCTGGGCTTGTCCCAAGGGTTTAATGAGATAATGAATGCGAAACCCCTGGGAACTCATAGGAGTTCACAAATAGGAGTTTATTTAATCTGCACAAACCCCAGAGGCTGCCCTTTGGCAAGAAGGAGCTTTTCAACTGCAATGACCACAGACCCTGTTCTGAAAGTTTCCCCCACCCTCAAAGAGTACCCTCTCTCCTTCAGGTCAGGCGAGGGGCACTGCCAGCCACTGGAGCAGTGGCCAGGTCTCTCAGCTCAGGCCCAGCGGTCTGGCCCACGACCTTGGAGGAACCTGGGAGAAAGCCTCACCAAGCGACAGTACTTTTCCACTGCACTGCCTCGGCCACCTCGGCTGGCTTCCAGGCAGAGTGCGCCAGGCCGGCCCCTTCAGGAACCCACCCTGATTCCCACTCCCAGGGATGGGGGTAAGGGCATGCTGTGGGTGAGGGGCAGCAGGAATACTGGGGTGGAGGTTGGCGGGGGAGGTTCCCGAATGCGCCAAGGGGAGCTTGGAGACCAGTAGAGAGGCCAAATAAATTAGCATGGACAAAGCCCTCCGGTATATTCCAGGGGATACCCAGTACTTAACAGCCCTCTCTACCCTCACCCCTCCGCTAATGATTAAACCCGTTGCACCGCGCCTGTGCAGGGTCCCGGGCAGCGCGAGCCTGCGCGGGGGGAGGGGAGAAGAGGGCAAGGGGAGGGGACAAGAGAGCTAGCGGTCCCGCCCGGTGATGTAGGCAGCCCGGGGAGGTGGAGCCGCGACGCCTGAAAGAGTCCCCACCGCAGCCGCGCTCTCGGTCGGCCCCACCGAGCAGCAGCCAGCGGCTCCGGCGACCCAAATTGCGGCGGCAGGGACCGCGGAAATCCCACCATCTGGGCTTGGGTTGGGGGTGTCCAGCCCACCCCACCCCCAGCCTCGGCCCCTCCTCCCTTCCCAGACGGCCGGAGCCACTCCCGGGAAAAGCTGTCCCCAGCCACTCGGCCGCCGTCCTGCACCTCGGCTGCCGGCCCGGCTGGGCACCGGGCATCTGCAAAGCTAGCCCTGCCTGGCACTGGGCATCTCCGGACACCGACTGTCTCCGGCGCTGCCCGGCTTCTCGCGACTCCGGGCGGTGGACTTCTGCGCGCCTTCCCTCCCCCGGCCTCCAGACAGGACGCAGGTGAGCTCCCCGCGACCCCAGCCTCTTTGGCCGCCGTCGCAATGCTGCCCTGGAGACGTAACAAATTCGTGCTGGTGGAGGACGAGGCCAAGTGCAAGGCGAAGAGCCTGAGTCCGGGGCTCGCCTACACGTCGCTGCTCTCCAGCTTCCTGCGCTCCTGCCCGGACCTGCTGCCCGACTGGCCGCTGGAGCGCCTGGGCCGCGTGTTCCGCAGCCGGCGCCAGAAAGTGGAGCTCAACAAGGAGGACCCGACCTACACCGTGTGGTACCTGGGCAACGCCGTCACCCTGCACGCCAAGGGCGACGGCTGCACCGACGACGCCGTGGGCAAGATCTGGGCTCGCTGCGGGCCGGGCGGGGGCACCAAGATGAAGCTGACGCTGGGGCCGCACGGCATCCGCATGCAGCCCTGCGAGCGCGGCGCCCCGGGGGGCTCCGGGGGTCGCAGGCCCGCGCACGCCTACCTGCTGCCGCGCATCACCTACTGCACGGCGGACGGGCGCCACCCGCGCGTCTTCGCCTGGGTCTACCGCCACCAGGCGCGCCACAAGGCCGTGGTGCTGCGCTGCCACGCTGTGCTGCTGGCGCGGGCGCACAAGGCGCGCGCCCTGGCCCGCCTGCTCCGCCAGACCGCGCTGGCAGCCTTCAGCGACTTCAAGCGCCTGCAGCGCCAGAGCGACGCGCGCCACGTGCGCCAGCAGCACCTCCGCGCGGGGGGCGCCGCCGCCTCGGTACCCCGCGCCCCGCTGCGCCGCCTGCTCAACGCCAAGTGCGCCTACCGGCCGCCGCCGAGCGAGCGCAGCCGCGGGGCGCCGCGCCTCAGCAGCATTCAGGAGGAGGACGAGGAGGAGGAGGAGGACTACGCGGAGGAGCGCGAGGAAGGAGCCCCCCAGCGCGAGCGGCCGGAGGTGCTCAGCCTGGCCCGGGAGCTGAGGACGTGCAGCCTGCGGGGCGCCCCGCCGCCCCCGCCGCCCGCGCAGCCCTGCCGCTGGAAGGCCGGCCCCAGGGAGCGGGCGGGCCAGGCGCGCTGAGAGCGGAGGGACAAGACTCGCGGCCTCAGGCCCAGCCCGCCAGACTCACAGCCTCAGACCCCGGCCCTGTCCGCTTCGGCTGCCCTGGTCCCCGGCCCCCGGCCCGTGTCTCCCCTGTGGTCTCCGTGTTGTCCGCCCCGCCGCCTCATTTTGGCTCAGGGTGATGATGCCTGGTACGCCCTTGATGATTGCGGGTGTTCCTCTCTCCCCACACCCGTAGTGCCCGGGCCTGCCATTGTGGACCCGCCCCCTACGCTTTACACCAAGTCTCTTTGCCCACAGACCTCCTCATGCCCTCCCAAAACGTCCTCTCAAGAGAAGGGAGGATAAGTTTCCAGAAATCCAGGAGGGTGGGTTTGGATCCTGGCCAGGGTGGAGGCAACGACCCTGCCCTTGGTCCCCCTAGCCTTCTTCCCTGTGGGGGGAAAAAAATGACCCTGGAGAGGCATTCTTGTGGGGGAAGAATCTAGCGGCCGGGGAGCGTTGAGGCCGGGCTGGTGGTGGGCAGAGTCCCCTGCCATATGCGCATGGAGGAATCCGCAGGCCCAAGCCCCGCCTCTCTTCCCCTTGGAGGACTCCTGGGACTTGACTGCTCTGCCTCTGGAGAACACTGGGACGGTCCCACTGACGTTCAAACAACAGGGTAGGCCAGGTAACAGCCATGCACCAGGCCGCTGCCCAGGCCTCTGCCCTGGCACCCACCACGGGATTCTTCACCCGCCCCATCTCTCTGCAGATGGATGCATGTGGTCCCCTCCTAGGTGCCCCTCAACCAGGTCCAAGATGGGGCTTCAAAGGAGGTAAGGAGAGCCTTTGGCAGGTGCTTGGGGACACTGACTACCTAGAAAGTAGGCATAGCAGAGCCGCTCCCAAGTCGAGGCTCCTCAGAGCAGGTGGGTCCTGACAGCAGCGGATTCTCCCAGCAGGATGAGGAAGGAGGGTGTGTTAACCCAACCAAGGGAGTGGACCCCCCCCCCAGGTGTCTCCGCAAGGCCACAAAAAGCCCAAAGATCTATGTGTCACTGATCATTGTAAATAAAGTGGACCTGGTTTTTCAGCCCTGTCACTACTCCTGTGTTGTGTTTAATGCCAGGCCTGCTGGGGGTGACAAAAGTGACTGAGGGTCAGAAAAGCTACAGGTTAGCCCGTATAGCTCTCCCCAGTTACGATTCGAACCCTGAAAGTGGCTCTTTTGAGCAGCCAGAGCCAACCCCAGGAACAGGATGGAGGCTGGGGACTGCTGCCAGGAAGCTGTTCCTTAATATCGGAGGAGGAGGCAGTAACTTATGCCTTGTCTGAAAATCACATGTGCCAGGCTCCCTGGAGGGTCGTCGGCTGTCTGTCTCAGCCTCCCAGAATGTCTGTACGCCTGGGCACTCAGACGTAAATGTCTGGGACATTTGGCAGGGAGGGCGGGGGCCTTCTCATAAGCCATGTATTAGTATCTCTGAGAAGGTTCACGTGTATGTCAAAGCATGTGGTATATAGACTATGTGTTTCCTCAAGATCAGAGCAGAGCAGGTTGTAAGAGAATGGGGTGGGCAGCTCAATTTTCTTTCAGAGGCTCTGGAGAAATCTGTCCAGACCCTGTGACAGCGCGAGTCTTCAGCTGGATATCTTCTTTATTGCTGTGCTGAGCTGGGCACTGATCCCAGAGTCACCCAGAACCCAAACGAGTGGCCTCTGCCATTGCCAGTAATCAGAATGGTTCTGTTTCCTGCAACTGCCAGGAAATAGGACAGCACTGCCATCTCACCCTGCAGAACCCAGGTGTGGTTAGGGATTTGGAGGGAAAAGCTAGGGCTGACTCCATATGCCAGAAGTAACAAAAACTCACTGGGCAAGGCTTCCTGCATGTTCTTTGCCTCCCTCTTACACATTGCGAGGACTTTTGTTGGTGTTTCTCCCCACTTGGAGATAAAAAGGAAGGAAGTGGGAAGATGTGAGACCTATGAGTGGACGATGGGCTGCAGGGCAGCCTCTGGTGTGGCTGAGACAACCCCAGACCTGTCTAGAAACAAGATCACAGCACGCCCTCTTCAATCAGACTTAGGCAGCGGACAGTTTCAAACCGCTAGGCACTGGGAGGTGCAGGAGGCCCTCTCTTGTTCTTACATTTGCAACGAGATGCATGTAATTAAAGGAGCAGTTACAGGTCAGGCACACAGTGTCTCATGCTTGTAATTCCAGCACTCTGCGAGGCTGAGGCAGAAGGATTGCTTGAGCCCGGGAATTTGAGGCTGCAGTGAGCTCTCATCACGCCACTGCACTCTAGCCTAGGTGATGAAGGAAGACCCTGTCTCTAAAATAATAATAATAATGACTTACAGACCTGCTTCCAGCTCCCAGCCTCAGCCCCTGCTCTTCCATTGTTCACTGGAAGCCTCTCAACACACACACACACACACACACACACACACACAGAGCCTCTCACCTTCCCTCACTCACACTATGATCTCCAGACCTAGAATTAGAAGGCCTGGGTGAGAGGACTCCTCTCTGAGCCTCCTGTCAAACAAAGGTGAAATGGGGATAATATCTCCTCTTACAACCTCACCCACTGGTTGTATTAAGTGGAATCATGTCTGTGAAAATCCTTCAGTAAATAATAAAATGTCCAGTACGTGTGAGGAACAAGCACTCCAACTTCTGTCTCCCTGGTGAGAGTGGCTGCAAGTTTTGCTGACCACATCTCCATTCTCAAGGTGTGTGATGGACTGAGGGTCAGGTAAGCCTGTGTGGCTCCCACTGTGGCTGGGCTGCGGAGTTGGAGGTATGGGACTGCTCCAGCCACCAGACTCTGGTGGCATTACTACCCAGAGGAGAGGAAGCATCTCCTGGGCACCCACACCTGCCTTTGTCTATGCTTTTAGTCAACATTCTCCCTGATCTTAGGTACAAGATAGCAAAATGAACCCTGAATCAGAGGTCAGATGGTTCAGCCCCTGTGTCTCTCCTCCCAGTGTGAATTTCCCACCTGGAAAATGAAAACAGAGTGGAGTGGCCCAGTGGTTTTCAAACCACATTCCTTCTGACCTAGATGTCTCAGGGTGCCCCAGGAGCTGCTGCGGGGAGTGATAGGGAACTGGAGTACGGAGATCCTCCCACGTCGCTTTTTTTGTTGTTTTTTGAGACGGAGTTTTGCTCTTCTTGCCCAGGCTGGAGTGCAATGGCACGATCTCGGCTCACCACAACCTCTGCTCCCAGGTTCAAGTGATTCTCCTGCCTCAGCCTCCTGAGTAGCTGGGATTATAGGCATGCACCACCACACCTGGCTAATTTTGTATTTTTAGTAGAGACAGGGTTTCTCCATGTTGGTCAGGCTGGTCTCAAACTCTCGACCTCAGGTGATCCGCCCGCCTGGCCTCCCCCTCGCTTTAACTAGAGCAGTATGTGTAACCTGTTTGGGGATCCTGTGATTCCATTTGAATAATGGGATGTACAGATTTTTGAAGCAATTGAAATCACTGAGCACGAGGCTCTCTAAACCTTCCCTTCCAGGCCTGAGGCTGGAAGGCTTGTCGGGCTGACTGGGTGTGAGAAGTATTATTGGAGGAGGTCAGAGATTCTCAGAGGCAGTGGCAACAGAGGGCTTTTTAAAAACCACAGGCAGCCAAGGACAATGCAGAAATGTGTCCCCAGGGAGGCCAGCAACTCGGGGTCAAGACTCTTCCTGGACCTTTGGGACCTGTCTCCATCTCTTCAGATCCCACTCCATCACTCCAACAAGGCTGGGCTGTGACCAGTGTGACATATGACATAGCACATAGCTCACAGAATAAAGTCAGTTGGCCCAGCCACCAGTGCCATCCTGGCCCCCACTGGTCTGCTTCCACTCTGCAACCCTGCCACTCAGAACTGCAGCCTGCTCCCTAGACCACCATGCGTTCTACCTCAGGACACTCATCTCCCTCCCTGGAATGCCCTTCCTTTTGGCTACACGTTTTCTTTTTTCTTTCTTTCTTTCTTTTTTTTTTTTGAGATGGGGTCTCTCTCTGTTGCCCAGGCTGGAGTGCAGTGGCACGATCTTGGCTCACTGCAACCTCTGCCTCCTGGGTTCAAGCAATTCTCTGTCTCAGCCCCAAGTAGCTGGGATTACAGACATCTGCCACCATGCCTCACAGATTTTTGAATTTTTAGTAGAGATGGGATTTCACCATGTTGGCCAGGCTGGTCTTGAACTCCTGACTTCGTGATCTACCCGCCTTGGCCTCTCAAAGTGCTAGGATTACAGGTATGAGCCACCATGCCCAGCCTGGCGACACATTTTCAAATCCTACCCTTTCCTCAAGGCCCAGCACAAATTTCACCTCTTTGAAACTTGCGTTAATGCACGCCCCTTCTCCACTCCTGCCGAATCTGGATGAGATCCCTCCTCTCAACCTCAACCTCACACAGGCCTTGGTCTGTGCTTTCTCTTGGTCCTCTTCATGTTTACCTTGGACTACTCTTTTTTATTATTATTTTTTGAGACAGAATCTCTCTCTTGTTACCCAAGCTGGAATGCAATGGTGTGATATCGGCTCACCGCAACTTCTGCCTCCCAGGTTCAAGCAATTCTCCTGCCTCAGCCTCCCAAGTGGCTGGAATTACAGGCATGCGCCATCAAGCCCAACTAATTTTATATTTTTAGTAGAGATGGGGTTTCTCCATGTTGGTCAGGCTGGTCTCAGGTGATCCACCCGCCTCGGCCTCCCAAAGTCTGGGATTACAGGTGTGAGCCACCACGCCCAGCCTGGACTACTCTCTTTATATGAGTGCCTCATTGTTCATATTGATCCACCTTCATTTCCTCACCTCCTTCAGTACCTTGTCCAAGAGTCAGTGTTCAGTAATGATTTGTTGAATGAATACATGAATGAATAAGACAGATGGAAGAGCCATCATAGGACAGGAAACCAAGTGGGTGGAGAAGCATTTCTTCTGCCAAGCTTCTGCCTGGAGATACTAAAGGAGCACTGTCCTCACATGGCCTGTTCAGACGGACGGCTATTCGTGGGGAAGATCAGCAGCTGAAGAAACAAGGCCAGAGGAGAAAACATGCCTCTGTCCCTTGGGTCTGCTCTGGGTTCTAAAGTCTCAAGACTGGGCCCTCTGACTCTCTGGGCCCATCCAGGACACTCAAAATTGTAACAGCAGCTCCTGGCAGTGGGCAGCCATCCTCCAGACACACTGGCTGGGATTTGCAGACTTGGAAAGGGTGTTGAGAGGACCGTCAGGACAGGTGCAGTTTATAACGTAACACGAACAGTCAAACCTGGGCTTTGGCAACAGAGAGACCTGAATGCCAACCCCAGCACTGCCACCTGATGGCTGAATAACTTTGGCTAGGCTTTCGGAGCCTTGGTTTTCCAACCTTGAAAATACGGTGCCGGGCGCATCACTTGAAAATAGGGTGCCATGGCTCACACCTGTAACCCTAGCACTTTGGGAGGCCGAGGTGGGCAGATCACCTGAGGTCAGGAGTTCGAGACCAGCCTGGCCAACATGGTGAAACCATGTCTCTACTAAAAATACAAAAATTAGCCAGGCATGGTGGCAGGCACCTGTAATCCCAGCTCCACCGGGAAGCTGAGGCAGGAGAATCACCTGAACCCAGGAGGCAGAGGTTGCAGTGAACTGAGATGGAGCCACTGCACTCCAGCCTGGGCAACAAGAGTGAAACATCCAAAAAAAAAAAAGAAGGAAGGAAGGAAAGAAGGAGGGAGGGAGAGAGGAAGGAAGGGAAAGAAAGAGAGAGCGAGCGAGAGAGAAAGAAAACAGGGCTAGGTGAGTTTATTTATTTATTTACTTATTTTTGAGAGAGGATCTCTCTTTGTTGCCCAGGCTGGACTGCAGTGGTGCGAACTCAGTTTACTACAACCTCTGCTTCCTGGGCTCAAGCCATCCTCCCACTTCAGCCTCCCGAGTAGCTGGGACCACAGGTGCATGCTGCCACCTTGCCTGGCTAGTTTTTTTATGTTTTGTTTTTTATTTTTGTACTTTTTGTAGAGACAGGGTTTCACCATGTTGCCCAGACTAGTCTCGAGCTCCTGGGCTCAGCGGTCCACCCACCTCAGCCTCCCGAAG